CCAGCCTGGGTGACTGGAATGATCCCACTCAAAAAAAAAAAAAAAAAAATGCCTGGTCTGGTGACTCATGCCTATAATCCCAGTACATTGGGAGGTGGAGGCAAGAGGATGAGCCCACAGGTTTGAGACCAACCTGGCACGCACCTGTAGTCCCAGCTACTTGGAAGGCTGAGGTGGAAGGATCACCTGAACCCAGCAGGTCGAGAATGTGGTGGCTGTGAGCGTGCCACTGTACTCCAACCTGGGTGACAGAGTGAGACTTCTTCTCAAAAATACTACTACTACTACTAATTTACTATAATTATGGAAAATGAAGAAATATATGCTGATGACACTTCCAAGGTCAAAGATGAATCCAGTAAACTTATTAGTGATAGTGAGACAGTGATATAATGATGCAATGTAAATGAAGAACTATATATATGTTATATACTTATAATATGTATTTGGCCGGGCTCAGTGGCTCAGCCTGTAATCCCGCGCCTTGGGAGGCTGAGGTGAGTGAATTGCCTGAGCCCACGGGTTCGAAACCAGCCTGGGCAACTTGGTGAGACCTCATCTCTACAACAAATAAAAAAAAAAATTAGCCGGGCGTGGTAGCACGCGCCTGTAGTTCCAGCTACTTGGAAGGCTGAGGCGGAAGGATTGCTGGAGCCCAGCAGGTTGAGGCTGCGGTGGCCGGGAGCGGCCACTGCATTCCAGTCTGGGTGACAGAGTGAGACTCCAACTCAAAAAACAAAACAAAACAAACAATAATAGGTATTTGGTTTATAATCTAACTAAACATATAAAGTACAGAATGCTAGTCAGAGTGGTGTTTGAGGCAAATACTGGATATGTCTGCAACTTTCAGCTGTATTGTGAAAAAGGTGATAATTTAGAAAAGACCATTTCACTTGTGCTTAATGACAGAAGTTTGTGGCAACCAGCTTCAGATTTTTTTTTCACCTGCTCTCAGTGTTAAGAAAGTGAAAAATTTGCTGATCACAAATGTGTTAATGTGATCTACTTTTTTTTAACTTCTATAAAGTTTTGTTGACTGCACTGCATGTATCTTTTTTTTAATGGAGTCTCATTCTGTCGCCTAGGCTGGAGTGCAATAGCATGCTGACGGCCACTGCAACCTTAACTTACTGGGCTCAGGCTTTCGCCTCAGCCTTCTAAGGCGCTGGAACTACAGGCACATGCTAGTTTTTTTTTTTTATTGTAGAGATGAGGTCTCATCAGGTTGCCCAGGCTGGTCTCAAACCTGTGGTCTCAGGCAATCCTCTCACCTCAGCCTCCCAAAATGCTGGGATAATAGGCGTGAGCCACTCTACCTAGCTGAATGCATGCATCTTAAATGTCACTATTAAAAGATTTTTTTGGGTGGTTTCTTCACTCTCACTTTTGGCGAATCTTTTAAGTTAAATAAAAGAATCATAGGAATCTGCAGTGGTGTCTCAGATTCCAAAAAACGGTCCTCTATAGAATGTTGTTAATCGACTTTTATGTTTTTCTTGTGTTTGTGTTTTTTTGTTTGTTTATTTTAGTTGGAGTTTCACTCTGTCGCCAGGGCTGGAGTGCAGTGGCACACTCAGCCACCGCATTCTCGAACTGCTGGGCTCAGGTGATCCTTCCACCTCAGCCTTCTAAGTAGCTGGAACTGTAGGTGTGCGCCACCATGCCCGGCTAAGTTTTTGATTTATTGTAGAGATGAGGTCTGGCCAAGTTGCCCAGACTGATCTTGAACCCCTGGGCTCAAGCAATCCTCTCATCTTGGCCTCCCAAAGTGCTGGAATTATAGGCGTGAGCCACCATGCTTGGCTGTTGATCTACTTTTAAACTGCTTTCATGCTACATTAATTGCCTTTTTTAGAATGCTCATATTCTTTAATGTTTTTGTTCTTGCTGTATAATGCTTTTTCCTTTTTTTTTTTTTTTTTTTTTTTTTG